CACTCCCTGGCTGGATCTGTGCAGCTGGAAGAGCGCGGTCGGCCAGCCCCGGAAGCAGGAGGGCGGGAACGCCCCGCCCAATCCCCGCCCGCCGTTGGCCGCGCGACGTCACGCGGGCCCGCCTCGCCGAACTTGCTGGTTGGCGGTGGCGCCCGCACCGCAACTCGGTTAGCGGGGGCTAGGCTCTGGCGAGGTGGAACTCGCACCTGGTGGCATCTGGGGGTTTCTCAGCGGGGTCTCAGTGCGCACGCGGGAGGGAGGGAGGGCGGGAGAGACGGAGCCATGGCAACCCCCCTGCGGGGGGGCGGGGCCTGCCACACAGGACTCAGGGTTGCCAGGGGTCCGGTATTTTCCGCTCGTAAAAAAATTCAGAGAATACCGGACACCTGAGCGATCAGCTATTCTCTGCATTCTTCTCCCGGGCACCTGGCAACCCGGGTCTTAGTGCTCAACCGCTCCCCTCTTCCTATCCCTGCACTCAGTGTTAAAAAGTCCTTGAAGTCCCTTTTTTTTTTGGCTCAACAACTTTGGTCTCCCCCCTTTTTTTCCCCCTTCAACAGAATTTTTTCCCAGGTTTTTTTTTTGGGGGGGGGGGGTTCGGTATTTTTGTTTCAACCATCTGGCAACCCTAAGGACAGTGCCTGGGAGAAATTTAAGTGCAGGAGAGGGTGTGGAGGTGTTGGGGGCTGCAAGAGTCAGGGCAGAGGGTGGGGTGGTGGTGCAGGAGTCAGGGCAGGAGTGGTAGAGAGGGGGATTCAGAGTAAGGGGTGGGGAAGTTTGGGGCTTGGGCCACTACACTGCCCAGCTGCCAGATCCGGGGTGGGGGAGGCAACAAAGCCATTGCACTCTGAGCACTGGGGCTGGAGCCTGGGTGTGCTCTGGCCCCCTCAGAACATCTAGAGCCTTTCCCCCAGCTGGCCAATCTCTTACTGATGCACCTCACCAGGGCATTCCAACTTAGTTGCACCTTTGAAACGGGTGCATGGGTAATAGTTCAGGGGCAGTAGTACAAGTACCATGGGCTAGTAATAGTTCAGGGCAATAGTGCAAGTACCAACATCATGTAACAGCACATGTCCACTAGTGAAAACACTGCAGGTGCATCTGGAACCACTGTGCTAGTGGGGAGTTAGTAGCACACATGCAATAGTGAAAACTAGCTGGGGTCAAAGGCATGCCTGTCATAACAGCGGGGAGGGATTATGGCTCAGTCTAAAGGTTAATCTGGTCTTGAGCAGGTTTATGGTGCTGTGATACTAAACTGCATCCCCCATGCCCAGCACTGAATTTTTAACCTAACAGAGCCAATGAGAGCAGCAGGGCAAGGAGCAAATAAACTGGCTAGTTCTGCCTTGTGAAAAGGGCTGCAGCAAGTGCTACATCACACTGGGGTGCAGTAAACGGCACTCTGCAAGAAGGCTTTTGCTCACAGGGCAAAAATTATAAGCAGGCACGTGGGTGAGCTGAGGCTAGTGGGTGAGGGATGGTGCAAGCTGAAGTAAGGGGCCAGGGCCCCCATCTCTGTAGTATCTAAGCATCTTCTAATCCTGAATGCATTTATTGCTTTGGATGCAAGGCAAAAAAATTACTCCACTGAACAGGTGGGGAAACCAAGGCACTAGAAGACCAAATGAGTTGTCCAAGCTCTCACATGGAGACAGGGGCAGAATTTGGACTTGAATATGAGCTCCCCAAGATGGTAGGCTAGCAGCCTGGGCTACCCATCCTCTCCACACAATCTCAAAGAGCATGCATGTGTCCAGGGTCCACAGGCCCTCCCTCATCTTTACTCCCTTCTCTTCAATTCGACTAATGGCTTATTCAATTCGACATCGGGCTGGAAACTCTTTGGGGCAGGTCCGTGCATTGTACAGCTCCTAGCAACAGGAAAGATACCAGTGCTACAGCAATACAGATATGTACTAAGTAAACAATGTTATTAACATGAGAAGTGGATGGGACACTGGGTTGTGAGCCAGGATATCTGGGTTCTGTTCCCAGCTTTGCACTGCCTCCTTTTCCCCTCCCACTCATTGTTTATTAAGCAGTCAGGGACAGGGGCTGTCTCTCACTGTGGCTGTAGAGCACACAGCTAAACAGGGCCCTGATCTGGATCAGGATTTGTGCTGCACATGGCATGACACAGGACACAATGTCAGTCACGGTCTGAATAGCACCCAGGGTGACCTGGCTGGCCCTGCTCTCACTGGGGGTCTGCATAGCATGTGGCTGATTGGGCCCCAGACTCAGTTAAGGTCTGTGCCATGCCTGGCACAAGAGGGTCCCTACTCTGCTCTCAGTCAAGATTATCCCAGACTAGCATAATGGGAACTCTGATCTGAGAAAACAACAAATTGTCTAGACACACCTTAACAACTAACAAAACATGTAGAAGGTATCTGATCAGAGTAGGGACTTTCAGACCCTACCCTCAGTAACAATAACTGCTTTTAAGTAGCTTTAGATGGTAGCCGAGTTAATCTGTACAGGATAAACTTAAACAACAAATGGTCTGGTAGCACTTTAAAGACTAACAAAACCTGTAGATGGTATCATGAGCTTTCATGGGCACAGCCCCCTTCCTCAGATGACCGGAGTTTTACATAGGAGCTTTTAAGTAGGAGTCTGCTTCCCTCTAGTGGTAGATTGACAGGGTTTCTTTCATTCCTTTTCTGTGCATGTCTATAAACCTAAGTGCTCTCATTGAGATTCAGTGCCTAGCTGGGTTGCACCTCCTGCTCCCACAGGGGTAAGGCTGCAGGGTGGGTACACAGAACGGGGTAGCACTGGCTTTGTGAGGATCTATCCCTGCATGTAGCTCGCAGGTGGGGCCCCAGTGTGATTGTCCACATGTGTGTGCTGCAGATTTGTTCAGAGCCTGGGCTTAGCAGGACAAGAAAGGTTTGCAAAGGTAGCTGGGGGGTTCTGGAATGGAGGCACTGGAGCAGGATCGCGAAAGATGCTGGCTCATTAAGCCCCACCATCCTTTTGGAGTGTCTGAAGAGTAGAGGAGAATGAAGCTTTCTGTGTTTGGGCAGGGCCAGCCTTAGGGAAAATAGCACTTGAGTGAACTTGTATTTTGGACCCCCACATCACTACTGGTCCCCTCGGACTGCCTGGGCTGTCCCCTGCCATCACCACTGGGCCCCACTGCCTCTCCCAGAGTTTAATTTCTTTGTATGAAAGCAATGCCAAAGGCTAGAACGCAGCCATGACACAAATTAAGTGCTGGCAGGGCAGCCTGTTTCTGTCCAATGCTGGCCAGGCACCCACCTCTGAAGGCAATGAGCAGCAGCACAGAAGTAAAGTGCCTGATGTTTGGCATGTGGCTTAAGGTGGACTTTGCACAGTCACATGGGGGAGGCTGCATCTTACCGGAGACCACGGCCCTCCTGGCTCACCCACAGTGCCATATCAGACTTGGGGGGGCGGTCAGGAAGGGAGGAAACTTTAACTATGATTTCACAGACTATGTAGGCAGCAGAAAACTCTTAAGATTTTTACAGATAACTTAGGGATCACCTGACAGGAGTACTGTATCTAATATATCTATTTTAGAAATGTGCATCTGTCAGAGTCCATTTGTTCAAGAAATCCTCCTAAATGGGAAGAGCTAGGACCACCAAATTTGGTATGAAGCTTCCATGGGCGGTGAGTTATATGGGCTCATGGTGCCCATGCTCCAACAATATTCAGAGCCAGGGGCCCTGCTCCACTACCTCCAGTGGGACCCCCACTCCCCACCAGTCCCCCCGCAGGTCCTCCCACCCAAGCCCCAGAGCATCCCCCCTGGCCCCAGCCCCAGACCATCCCTGCTGTGTGCAGCTTTCAGGCGGGCTCCCCCTTGCTGGCTACTGCTGCCATGCGAGACATTTACAGGTGAGCGGGGAGACACCCGGGCGTGACATGTCGTCACAGCCCAGGACTTTAAAACTGCTCGGCGCGGTGTTGCGCCACGCGGCCTAGCTCCAGGTTCAGAGTCCGGGGAATTCTGGAGCCTGAGCTCAGACCCCG